TCAGTTGGTAGAGCATGGCGCTTGCAATGCCAGGGATGTGGGTTCGATTCCCACGGGGGACCAGAATGAAAAATGTATGCACTCACTAACTGTAAGTCGCTCTGGATAAGAGCGTCTGCTAAATGACTAAAATGTAAAAAAAATAATTGAAGCAACATCAAGAGATCAGTCAGGAAGTTAAAGCTTGGTCGCAAATGGGTCTTCCACTCCTCCATGATGACATCACGGAGCTGGTGGATGTTAGAGACCTTACACTCCTCCACCTTCCGTTTGAGGATGCCCCACAGATGCTCAATAGGGTTTAGGTCTGGAGACATGCTTGGCCAGTCCATCACCTTTACCCTCAGCTTCTTTAGCAAGGCAGTGGTCGTCTTGGAGGTGTGTTTGGGGTCGTTATCATGTTGGAATACTGCCCTGCGGCCCAGTCTCTGAAAAGAGGGTATCATGCTCTGCTTCAGTATGTCACAGTACATGTTGGCATTCATGGTTCCCTCAATGAACTGTAGCTCCCCAGTGCAGGCAGCACTCATGCAGCCCCAGACCATGACACTCCCACCACCATGCTTGACTGTAGGCAAGACACACTTGTCTTTGTACTCCTCACCTGGTTGCCGCCACACACGCTTGACACCATCTGAACCAAATAAGTTTATCTTGGTCTCATCAGACCATAGGACATTGTTCCAGTAATCCATGTCCTTAGTATGCTTGTCTTCAGCAATCTGTTTGTGGGCTTTCTTGTGCATCATCTTTAGAAGAGGCTTCCTTCTGGGACGACAGCCATGCAGACCAATTTGATGCAGTGTGCGGCGTATGGTCTGAGCACTGACAGGCTGACCCCCCACCCCTTCAACCTCTGCAGCAATACTGGCAGCACTCTTACGTCTATTTCCCAAAGACGACCTCTGGATATGACGCTGAGCATGTGCACTCAACTTCTTTGGTCGACCATGGCGAGGCATGTTCTGAGTGGAACCTGTCCTGTTAAACCGCTGTATGGTCTTGGCCACCGTGCTGCAGTTCAGTTTCAGGGTCTTGGCAATCTTCTTATAGCCCAGGCCATCTTTATGTAGAGCAACAATTCTTTTTTTCAGATCCCCAGAGAGTTCTTTGCCATGAGGTGCCATGTTGAACTTCCAGTGACCAGAATGAGGGAGTGTGAGATCGATGACACCAAATTTAACACACCTGCTCCCCATTCACACCTGAGACCTTGTAACACTAACGAGTCACATGACACCGGGGAGGGAAAATGGCTAATTGGGCCCAATTTGGACATTTTCACTTAGGGGTGTACTCACTTTTGTTGCCAGCGGTTTAGACATTAATGGCTGTGTGTTTAGTTATTTTGAGGGGACAGCAAATTTACACTGTTATACAAGCTGTACACTCACTACTTTACATTGTAGCAAAGTGTCATTTCTTCAGTGTTGTCACATGAAAAGATATACTCAAATATTTACAAAAATGTGAGGGGTGTACTCACTTTTGTGAGATACTGTACATACAGTCAGGTCCATAAATATTTGGACATTGACCAAGTTATTATTATTTTATTATTCCCTCATTAGTTCATTTACAACTAAGCAGATAAAAGGTCTGGAGTTGATTTCAAGTGTGGCATTTGCATTTGAAATATTTTGCTGTTAACCCTCAATATGTAGTCCAAAAAGCTGTCACTGCCAGTGAAGCAAGCCATCATTAGGCTGAAAAATCAAAGCAAACCCATCGGAGAGATAGCAAAAACATTAGGTGTGGCCAAATCAACTATTTTGTACATTCTTAAAAAGAAAGAACGCACTTGTGAGCTCAGGAACACAAAAAGGCCCGGAAGACCACGGAAAACAACTGTGGTGGATGACAGAATAATTATTTCCCTGGTGAAGAAAAACCCCTTCACAACAGTTGGCCAGATCAAGAACACCCTCCAGGAGGTAGGCGTATCTGTGTCAAAGTCAACAATCAAGAGAAGACCACCAGAGTAAATGAGACAAAGATCACCTTGTACCAGAATGATGTAAAGAGTATGGAGAAGGGAAGGGACTGCTCATGATCCGAAGCACACCACCTCATCTGTGAAGCATGCTGGAGGTAGTGTTATGGCGTGGGCATGTATGGCTGCCAATGGAACGGGTTCCCTTGTATTTATTGATGATGTGACTGCTGACAAAAGCAGCAGGATGAATTCTGAAGTGTTTAGGGCTATATTACCTGCTCAGATTCAGCCAAAAGCTTCAAAACTCATTGAACGGCGCTTCACAGTGCAGATGGACAATGACCCGGAGCATACTGCGAAAGCAACCAAATACTTTTTTAAGGCAAAGAAGTGGAATGTTCTGCAATGGCCAAGTCAATCACCTGACTTGAATCCAATTGAGCATACATTTCACTTGCTGAAGGCAAAACTGAAGGCAAAACGCCCCAAAAATAAGCAGGAACTGAAGACCGCTGCAGTAAAGGCCTGGCAGAGCATCACCAGGGAAGAAACCCAGCATCTGGTGATGTCTATGGGTTCCGGACTGCAAAGGATTTGCAACCAAGTATTAAAACTCACAATTTAATTTATGATTATGTTAGTTTGTCCAATTAATTTTGAGCCCCTAAAATTGGGGTGCTATGTATAAAAATGGTTGTAATTCCTACACGGTTCATTCAATAATTTTGACAAAACCCTTAAATTAAATACGAAAGTCTACACTTTAAAGCACATCTTGATTGTTTCCTTTCAAATCCAGTGTGGTGGCGTACAGAGCCAAAATGATGCAAACTGTGTCACTGTCCAAATACTTATGGACCTGACTGTATATAAATTATATAACAAATCACCAAAGTATTGCACTGGGCCTTTACTAGTATTAGCGGACAAGATATAGACGTCTGTAGCATAGGCAACAACATTAGTTTTTTAGCATTTCTGCTTTGGCAAAAAAGGTAATTATATAATTAAGAACAGTATCTTGCAGGATTCAATAGTTGGAATTGTAAGAGTTGTTGCCCTGTCCCTTTCTCTGTGATTGTCATTCTAATGGGATCCAGAAAGAACAAAACCCTGTCCTCAAACATTTACAAAAAAAGGTAATAAGTTATGGGCAAAGACACAAAACATCCACATCAAATTAAATATTTTTCTAGATCAAATAACATGGGAAACAACCACTTTTTGTGCAGTATTAATTTACCATCCTTACAAACCACTTAATGTAAATGTACGTTACTGTATTGTACATAGGCCGGTCATCTAGGTTTGCACCTGTAGACTTTCCATCCAGCTACTTTCAAGAATCTCAAATATAAAATATATTTTGATTTGTTTAACACTTTTTGGGATACTACATGTTATTTCATAGTTTTGATGTATTCAATAAAATGTAGAAAATAGTTTTTAAAAAATAAGAAAAACCCTTGATTAGGTGTGTCCAATCTTTTGACTGGTAGTGTTTATCAAGCAAGTATTATTAGATTAACTGTTTTGTACAGATAATTATAAGACTCAAGTTACAAATGCTAGTAAACACTCAAATACATTTAGTTTAAAATGCTTCACAAAAGTAGTGCACTGGGCCTTTACTAGTCCTGTATTAGCAGACCAATGTCTTCAGTGCTGTCAACTTTTTTTTCTTCTGCAAATTGCACCAACCCCAAACTACTTCACGTGGCTATGACAACATGTGACTAACAGTGCAGTTCTATGTGGGAGACTAAGTGCCTTGATCAAGGGCTAAGCGGCAGGAGGTGGTAGGTCTACATGGGCTCAGACTCAGCAGCTTTCCAGTGTAAAAAATGCTTACTTTTTCATGTAGGCTATGATAAGAGTCATGGAAATGTGGTTATAAGACACGGAGAAGTCATGGAAATGTGTATAAACCATTAACAGTGAATAATCAGAGGTCTCTATAGCATAATGTCATTTGTGAATTTCGGTGAAACATAGACTAATGGACCGACATAGAAAAAGAAAGCTCTTGCACTTCTTTCATCCCAAGTCTAGCACTGGTAATCGACCTTAAATAAGTTTTATTTTGGTTTCCAGCAAAAGTAATGTCCTTTGCGTTTTCTCACCCCACCAAAATAAGTTTAAACGCATGGTATGTATTGGCTTTTCCTGTTATTATGGAGCAGACACTGAATTAGGCAGATCAATAACTGGATAGGAGCCTACAATTTCCCTTGTTCCCTTATTCTGCATACTAAGATTTAACGTATTTCTCTTTATTTAGACTCACTCAAATATCGATAGGCTAAACCTATGCTCAAGGGTGGACACAGCTGTCATGGAGTTCCATATACAAAAGCAATTACGCACTATTAATTATTTCCCCCGTTTGTGGAAACGCATCTTTTTCAACCAACTCTTCTGATAAAGGAACATCTCTCAATTATAGATATTAGTGAAAATCAAATAATCAATTCAATAAGCATTCAACTCAATTGGAATCCATAGGATATTTTTGTGCGCTAATAAGATTATGCCCATCATTTTGGAGTTTGAGCATAGAAGCCTACTTTGTTACCTCAATCATTCGTGTTAAACATGAAACGAATGAATATTGTTAATGAGTGTAATAACACAGGATTTTTGAACTATTTTAAGATGATGGGCAATTGTTGATTATGCTTTTTGTAGATTGTCATCGAATAAAAATGTCAATATGAAAATGTAATAAAACATTTCAAAGAGACGCATGATAAAATTAGAATCTAATGTATTACTTGTTTGTCTGTTGAAAAGCCTGGGTGAAACGAGGTGAGATTTGATTGGCATGTATTCCCTCCCTTTGCAGAAATTAAACCTCAACAATTATCCAACACACGTCACTAGTTGCAACCATTAATAAGCATCCTGTGAGTCCTATCTGATAGCTGGAACATGCGATATTCCAGGTCCAAATGACAGACATTTTTGTAAATAATAGGTCACAATGTTCACCTTTTATTCTCTTGAACTTACATCATAAAATAATTATTTTGATATTCACGTTTTACTTTCGAACGACGAGTCCATGTCATCTTTGGAGTACATGAAAAAGGAATGCTTCGCATCTGGGACCCTGTCCTCAGCTTCTCTGAAAGGAACATTTACCAAAATTCAGAAAAGCAGACGTAAAAGAAGAGTCGCACCAAAGACGCAGGAAGAGACAGACAGCGGCTGCAATATTTGCAGGTGTGTATGTCAATTGTGACTATTGTTCTATAAATGTTAATAGCCTACAAACCGAACACCTTAGTTTACTTTTGTAGGCCTATCCTATAAAGGGCTACGTTTTTGGCAATAATGATGAAAACTATTATAAATATTTACATTAGGCCTATAGCCTTATTTGAGCTTTTTCGCAGAAAGATAGCCTATTTGATAGAGTAAGGCTATTTGAAAGAGTAAGTGTACCAATTTATTAGCTCTTTGAAAAAAAGGTTCTGGATAGAACCAAAAAGGAAATTGGTTCCATATAGAACCCTAAATGGAGCCCAAGGTTTCTATATGGAACTCATTTTGGTTCAGTGAAGAATCCATGGACTTAAAAAATAACCCTACAAATGCCATATACACTGAGTATACCAAACATTAGCAACGCCTTCCTAATACTGAGTTGCACTGGATGGCGTTTGGGTGGTGGACCATTCTTGATACATATGGGAAATTGTTGTTGAGCATGAAAAACCCAGCAGCGTTGCAGTTCTTGACACAAACCGGTGCGCCTGGCATCTACTACCATACCCCGTTGATATCGATTGTATTGCCGATTCACACTCTGAATGGGGCCCACACACAATTCATGTCTCAGTTGTGTCAAGGTTAAAGAAAGATTTCTGTCTCCTCCACTTTATCTACACTGATTGAAGTGGATTTAACAAGTGACATCAATAAGGGATCATAGCTTTCACCTGGTCAGTCTATGTCATGGAAAGAGCATATGTTCTTAATGTTTTGTATACTCAGTGTACGAAGCAAGCAATAGAACCCTTTTTGGTTCTGTCCAGAAACCTTTTTTCTAAGTGTAATCAAACATTTATATCCTACACATATCTATTAATTCACCAATAAACAGCAACTCAGCCTTGATTCCAAGGTTTTTAAATGATAATGTCATAATTTAATAATATTTCATATTGACAATCAATTGTATTATTTGTATTATTTAATCAGATCCTTATTTCTGTATATTTTTATATTTTTTGCAGTTTCTCTCTCTATCTGTGTCTCGGCAGTAACCGCACTGTTCGTCGCATCTTCACGGCTTGTCTGCTCTCGTTTCTGGCTCTGCTCGGCTCAGTCTCCGTCGACCTCAGCTCCAACTTGGACCTGCTGCGCGCCACAGAGGCCGCTGTCGCCGAGCTGACTTCATGCAGGACTACGGCTATTCTCCAACTCATAGGTGAACTCCAAAACAGGAGAAGTCTATGCAGAAAGTACAGGAGTAACGAGACAGACCAAGAAAAGTGTCTACCAACTAGCATTTTACCAGTGATTATTAGACTTTGCACTGATATGGAGGGCCACAGAAACAGTCAGGGTCACCCATGCAGCGAGGAGTTGGTGGAGTTCTGCCAGAAACTCTGGGAAGATTTGACAGAATTTCTGAACACAACATGGGGAGTTGAGGACAACAGTGACATGTCCGTGTTCTCCTTGACCATTGTCAGACTCCTGGACATTTGGGGGGACGTGGAACAGGACATTAGTCAAGTCAAGCAGTTTTCAGACTGGAAAGATGTCCTCTCATTGAGACTGATGGTCACATTCCTGGAACTCAACCACCAGTTCAGGGAACTCCCTTCCATAGGAAACCAAGCTGACTTTCACAAGAAGTGGATCCACGCACTCAGCCGTCTAGCCTTTGCCCAGCTCTTGTCAGAAACGCTAGAGGACTGCTGGGTGGAGAACATTCAACTAAAGCTCAACCTGACCAACAGCCCCAAAGTTGACCCATATGTCTTTGAGTCTGCCCCCTGGCAGATCCAAGCGTTTGGCACGGTGAGAACAGCAGGCGTCCTCACAGGCTCTCAGACTGGCATCCAGGCTCTGAGGGACACCCAGGCGTGCCTGCTGGCCAGGGCGGTGCCAGCTCTGAAGCTCCAATCCAGGGCCATGTTCTCAGGGCTCAGCATGCGGATCTCCCTGTTGACATTGGCCTGCCTGATCTATCCGTTGGTGCTGGTGTCCTTCAAGCAGATGACGGAGTGGATCCAGAACTATGCACGCAGCCTGCAGGAGAGGACCGAGGACCTGAAGCGCCAGAGACAGCTGGCCGAGGACCTCCTGCACCAGATGCTGCCCAAGACCGTAGCCAAGCAGCTGAGGCAGCAGAAGCACGTGGAGGCGGAGAGCTACGAGAAGGTGGGTTTGATTGATCTGAGCAGATGTGGGCCTTCAGTTCCATCATGTCGATCAATTCTATTTCTTGCTGCGTCATCATTTCCATATCCCATGGTCATCACTCTTTGGTTATGCTAGAGAGTTAGGAATTCAAAATTAGCCACAACCCTCAACATTAGTGAACCCCCCTCAACATTGTAAAGAACCATTTGGAAGAGAAAATGGTTCTTTGAATAGAGCAAATAACCTCTCAAGAATCCTGTTTTCTTATAGCACCTTCTAGCCACAACTTCTAAGTTAAAGAAACGTTTTAAAATGTCTATAACCAACTTAAATATCAGCAAGATAATACCCTTTCTGTGTGACACTGACACAAGGTGTATTATCATGCCCCCCCCCCCCACCCCCCCACCCCCTTCACCTCCACACTTTTAGCAGTGTGAGGGCCTTGTAATGATAGGGGACAGTATTGGTGCGATACTCTGAATGAACCCCTGCATTTGGTTTCTTTGTTCTTATTGTTGTTGTAATTACCTATAATTACGGTGTTCCATATTCATTAGGAGATAAAACGGGTTACCAGGTGCAAATTGCGTCCAGCTCATTGAGGTGCTTGAAGCAGCTGGGCCAAAAGCACTCTGCTCAGGGCTATTAGCTACCAAAGGGGATGTGGTCCGTTTTTACACAGGCTTCTTTGAGTTCCAGCAATGGAACATTCTGAAAATGGAACACAATATTAGCACAAGAGTATAATCTGCATACACGAGGAAGGTCATACTGTCTTAGGTCATATAAGCTCAATGTTGAAGGCCATAAGACAGATTCCTGGGGAACCACCATTGTGCTAAACAAAGACACTATAAGTATTATAAGTATACAATATGACTGTACAGTACACTTACAAATGACACACCATTGGTTTTATCATGTTTACCATGGATCACTGTCTCTCTTGTAGAATACTGTAGATTGAAATCTAAATGGCGTCAACCAGTGGCGTCATGCACCTATTATTTAGAGGGGGCACGAAGTATGTGTTGATGGAGGAGGGGGTTATCAGAAGTCGGAGAATGTAGATTATTTTTAAACACCTGAAACAGCTTTTTCCTGAAATCTAGAGCCAAAATCATTATGCCTAATTCCATGTAAAAAAATTGTATTTTTCTGCATAAGTTATCTAAGCATACCTCTTTATCTGTTCAATTGTCATTTTTATTAATTATGCACATTGATTCTTTAAGAACTTTTTAACTTCTTAGGAGTTTAGTACAACTGCCACACTGGTATATAGTATCATAACGAAATAATTAAAGCAATTTCAGTCATTTCTAAAGTAAAACAACCCTGTGGACACCTGTCGTCGAACATCTCATGCCAAAATAATGGGCTTTAAAATAGAGCTGGTCCCCCTTTGCTGCTATAACAGCCTCCACTCTTCTGGGAAGGCTTTCCACTAGATGTTGGAACATTGCTGCGGGGACTTGCTTCCATTCAGCTACAAGAGCATTAGTGAGGTCGGGCACTGATATTGGGCGATTAGGCCTGGCTCGCAATCAGCATTCCAATTCATCCCAAAGGTGTTCGATGGGGTTGAGCTCAGGGCTCTATGCAGGCCAGTCAAGTTCTACCACACCGATCTCAACAAGCCATTTCTGTATGGACCTCACTTTGTGCACAGGGGCATTGTCATGCTGAAACAGGAAAGGGCCTTCCCCAAACTGTTGCCACAAAGTTGGAAGCACAGAATCGTCTAGAATGTAATTGTATGCTGTAACGTTAAGATTTCCCTTCACTGGAACTAAGGGGCTTAGCCCGAACCATGAAAAACAGCCCCAGACCATTATTTCTCCTCCACCAAACTTTACAGTTGGCACTATGCATTCGGGCAGGTAGCGTTCTCCTGGCATCCGCCAAACCCAGATTCATCTGTCAGACTGCCAGATGGTGAAGCGTGATTCATCACTCCAGAGAACAGTTTCCAAAGGCAGCGAGCTTTACACCACTCAAGCCGACGCTTGGCATTGCGCATGATGATCTTAGGCTTGTGTGCGGCTGCTCAGCCATGGAAACCCATTTCATGAAGCTCCCAACTAACAATTATTGTGCTGACATTGCTTCCGGAGGCAGTTTGGAACTCAGTAGTGAGCTAATTTTACGCACTTCAGCACGCAGAAGTCCCATTCTGTGAGCTTGTGTGGCCTGCCACTTCGTGGCTGAGCCATTGTTGCTCCTAGACGTTTCCACTTCACAACAACAGCACTTACAGTTGACCGGGGAAGCTCCAGCAAGACAGATATTTGACAAACTGACTTGTTGGAAAGGTGGCTTCATATGACGGTGCCACGTTGAAAGTCACTGACCTCTTCAGTAAGGCCATTCTACTGCCAATGTTTGTCTATGAAGATTGCATGGCTGTGTGCTCGATTTTATACACCTGTCAGCAACGGGTGTGGCTGAAATAGCCGAATCCACTAATTTGAAGGGGTGTCCACATACTTTTGTATATATAGTGTAGTTAGACAAGCTGCTCTAACTTGATTGATACCCTGAAATGGCTTGGTAGCTAGTTATTAGGTTGGTAGATTGCTGGCTAGCTAAATCCAACTTCATAAAATTGCTAGGTGGCTAGTATTACAGAGAAACAACAAAACATTTTCATTTTATTTATTCATCAAGAAGGAATCAATAGTCAACATAGCTTGATCAAATTAATTTACAAGCACACCTCCTGTGAATCCTGCCCATCTTACTAGGGAGAATAAGGGGGTGATACTCTTTGCCTGGTCCAGTTAATGTGCCCCCTCCGCAGCTGACAGATCTTTTTATAAATAATTATGATAAAACGTCGGCTTAAAAATGTATAGTAATTAATTTAACATCTGAAAAATGTAAAACAAGACAAATCTGAGGGGGCACGTGCCCATGATCCCCCTATGGGCATAAATAAGAGAGAAATGAATATAAATACAATGTACTGACTGTACTAGCACTTTAACAATTTAACATATGATGAGGCTAAGAAAGGCATCTTAAAAATGTTTTTCTGTACAGGTGACTATTTTCTTTTCTGATATCGTTGGTTTCACCACTATCTCGGCCTCCTGCACCCCTCTGCAAGTCGTGGAGATGCTGAACAACCTGTACATGTGCTTTGACACTCGCATCGACTCCTATGACGTCTACAAGGTAAGACTGAACTGGGGTAGCCTACATGGAGATTGGATTGGACCAAAATCGTTCTTGCCTACATTTTACATTTTAGTCATTTAGCAGACGCTCTTATCCAGAGCGACTTACAGTTAGTGAGTGCATACATTTTTCATACTACTACTTACTAAAACTAAATACTGTGTACTAACCATACTACATACTATTTTGAACAAAAACGGAACAAATATCAACAGAATACGCTCATCCATACTGAGAAGACGTCATCTAATTCGCAATAGGGTTGTTCCCCGCCATTCCTTCATTTTGGTACAGCCCATCCCCTTATCTGATTATCAGCTGTTGTCAAACATATGTGGGTCTGATAAGACGACTCAATAGTGTTCAGCGAATTCATACTAGAAGAAAAGCATAAATGAGTATGGCATCCTGGCATTTAAAGCTGTAAAACGTTATATTTTTGTATACTCAAAGTGCATACTATTGAAAACACAAGTATGGGTAATCGGAGACTTCCTATGTCCCAATCTACATACTAGCATATTATTTAGTATGAATGGCCAATACATCACTTCATACTAAATAGTGTGTAAGTTTGAGTATTGGGATGTTTCTGACCTATCTGAAATGCGCTTATCATGAGTGGAGCCATTGTATTTGCTCCCCCAGGTGGAGACGATAGGCGATGCCTACATGGTGGTGAGTGGGCTGCCTGAAAGGAATGGGGATAAGCACGCTGATGAGATCGCCAAGATGTCGCTGGACCTGGTGGCGGCGGTCAGACAGGTGGCAATCCCCCACATGCCCAACACGAGACTACAGCTCCGCGCAGGCATACACACAGGTGAGAGAACACACACATTACGCACACACACAGGCACACACCACACACACACACCGCCACACACACCTTTCTTACCCATGTTAAAATCGCATAAGGGTTTTAGGTGCTGTAAAAGTACCTGATAAACTCACCTAACAGGCAGATGCTTTGAGTTTTCTGACATGTGTACGCAAGCAATATTTCATTTAATGCAAATAACTTTCATTTCCTGAGAGGGAACTTTATGTTTGGTAATATACGCTGAGTGTACAAAATATTAGGAACATCTGCTCTTTCCCTGACATGTGAAGCTATGAACCCTTATTGATGTCACCTGTTAAATCTACTTCAATCAGTGTAAATGAAGGGGAGGAGACCAGTTAAAGAAGGATTTTTAAGTCTTGAGACAATTGAGACATGGATTGTGTATGTGTGCCATTCAGAGGGTGAATGGGCAAGACAAAATATTTAAGTGCCTTTGAACGGGGTATGGTAGTAGGTGCGAGGCGCACCGGGTTGAGTGTGTAAGAACTGCAACGCTGCTGGGATTCTCGCGCTCAACAGTTTCCTGTGTGTATCAACAATGGTCCACCACCCAAAGGACATCCAGCCAACTTGACACAACTGTGGGAAGCATTGGAGTTAACATGGGCCAGCATCCCTGTGGAACGCTTTCGACACCTTGTAGAGTCCATGCCCTGATGAATTGAGGCTGTTCTGAGGGCAAAAGGGGGTGCAACTCAATTTTAGGAAGGTGTTCCTAATGTTTTGTACACTCAATGTATACAGTGGCTTGCGAAAGTATTCACCCCCATTGGCATTTTCCTATTTTGTTGCCTTACAACCTGGAATTAAAATTGATTTTTGGGGGGTTTGTATCATTTGATTTACACAACATGCCTACCACTTCGAATATATGTTTTATTGTGAAAGAAACAAGAAATAAGACAAAAAAACAGAACTTGAGCGTGCATAACTATTCACCCCCCCAAAGTCAATACTTTGTAGAGCCACCTTTTGCAGCAATTACAGCTGCAAGTCTCTTGGGATATGTCGCTATAAGCTTGGCATATCTAGCCACTGGGATTTTTGCCCATTCTTCAAGGCAAAAACTGCTCCAGCTCCTTCAAGTTGGATGGGTTCTGCTGGTGTACAGCAATCTTTAAGTCATACCACAGATTCTCAATTGGATTGAGGTCTGGGCTTTGACTAGGCCATTCCAAGACATTTAAATGTTTCCCCTTAAACCACTCGAGTGTTGCTTTAGCAGTATGCTTAGGGTCATTGTCCTGCTGGAAGGTGAACCTCCGTCCCAGTCTCAAATCTCTGGAAGACTGAAACAGGTTTCCCTCAAGAATTTCATTTGGCAACCACCAAATGTGTTGGCTTATTTTTTTTCTTTAAGCAATGGCTTTTTTCTGCCCACTCTTCCGTAAAGCCCAGCTCTGTGGAGTGTATGGCTTAAAGTGGTCCTATGGACAGATACTCCAATCTCCGCTGTGGAGCTTTGCAGCTCCTTCAGGGTTATCTTTGGTGTCTTTGTTGCCTCTCTGATTAATGCCCACCTTGCCTGGTCCGTGAGTTTTGGTGGGCGGCCCTCTCTTGGCAGGTTTGTTGTGGTGCCATATTCTTTCCATTTTGTAATAATGGATTTACTGGTGCTCCGTGGGATGTTCAAAGTTTCTGATATTTTTTTATAACCCAACCCTGATCTGTACTTCTCCACAACTTTGTCCCTGACCTGTTTGGAGAGCTCCTTGGTCTTCATGGTGCTGCTTGCTTGGTGGTGCCCCTTGCTTAGTGGTGTGACAGACTCTGGGGCCTTTCAGAACAGGTGTATATATATTGAGATCATGTGACAGATCATGTGACACTTAGATTGCACACAGGTGGACTTTATGTAACTAATTATGTGACTTCTGAAGGTAATTGGTTGCACCAGATCTTATTTAGGGGCTTCATAGCAAAGGGGGTGAATACATATGCACGCACCACTTTTACGTTATTTATTGAATTTTTTGAAACAAGTTATTTTTTTCATTCCACTTCACCAATTTGGACTATTTTGTGTATGTCCATTACATGAAATCCAAATAAAAATCAATTTAAATTACAAGTTGTAATGCAACAAAATAGGAAAAACGCCAAGGGGGATGAATACTTTTGCAAGGCACTGTATACTATATCTTGCATACTTATTTCTGTGGTAAGTTTGATGTAAGTCTATAACCTGGTGTTATTACCAAAGTAAATATCAGTGAGTAAATTATGGTGTAGCAGGCTTGTCTTTCTCTTCATTTGCTCTCCTTGCCCCAGGTCCATGTGTGGCAGGTATTGTCGGCTACAAGATGCCCAGATATTGCCTGTTTGGAGATACTGTCAACACAGCCTCTAGAATGGAGTCCACCAGCTTGCGTAGGTGTACGGCATGCATGCACACACACACACACTCTCCTCTCTTTTTGTACAAACATTCCACTTTTCTTTGTGTGTGTTTGTGTGTGTGTGTATGTGTGTGTGTGTGTGTGTGTGTGTGTCAGCTCAGAGGATCCACGCCAGCTCAGCCGTATACCTGGCTCTGATGAAGGACGGTGCCTACGAGCTCCAGCTGAGAGGAGAGATCGAGGTGAAGGTAAGGCTCTTCTATTGACACTGGGAAAAATAGCATACCCCTGAAGTTCTCTTTGAGGGAAATAAAGTTGTTATATTTTTAGTCCTGGAATAGGCTTAATCTTGCCTGGCTACCCAGACTCCTTGCTCCGTCCAACGCTACGCCATGCTCACGGACGTTACTTTCTTCTCCGCAATGAGTCTGGATCTGAGCACCTTCCTGACTCTTCACCGAGTGTGAACACATTTGGGGCCGTCTGATTGGTCCAGAAACCGATGGGTTGGGCCAAAGCCAGAACACATGTCGGTAAAGCGGCAGTTTGAAAATGTGTCATTGGCTGATACTCTGATTGGTTAGAGACGATCCTATTGCTGAAGACTTTATTTTGTGCAACACCCATCCTGCCCCTGGTCACCACAAAAGACAATGATGGCAGTTTCAGACTAAGGTACGTAGCAGCGGAAGAATTTAGTATGAGTTGTCAGTAGGGCTGTTACGGTGACCGTATTACCGCCACACCAGTGGTCACAAGTCATGACGGCAGTCAAATTCCACATGACCATTTAGTAATGGTAATTAGGCTTCTCCAAGCTCGGATGCTGCTGATGGTCATTAGTAGCCTACCAAACTTGCTAACTGCCTGGTACTCAGCACTCTATTGTCCCTCTAATCACTCTAACATCAATGCAAATGTAATCGAAAATCTAATCAAACACTTATGAGAGCATGAGCTCATGTTGCGCAACATTTCTATAGGCTATGCAATTGCGTGAGAAAATAGAGTGATGGCCTCTATTAAAAAGAGGAGGATCCCATCAGCTTTCTATAGGCTAGGTCTACTATATTTATTTCTCAACTTTCCTAATATTAAGCACATTGCTTCTCTTTACAACAGGAGTATAGCCTACCTGGCTGGCATGAAAATGAACCACGGGAAAAGCGTCCTCCATTCGCTATTTAAGTGCATAGATGACATGTATTTTTTTCCGCTGCCCCTGTTTCGAGGCAGGTGCATGATAATGGTCCATTCTAAATCAAAACAAATTTCACACGTGTATTATTTAGTATATGTAAAGACAAGATTCAATCAAGAACAGTGTAATGGGTGACAATATTAGCCTATCACCTGTGAATGATATATTAGCCTATCACTTTTGAATGATGCCCAGCTTAAGACAAGAAACAGTGCGGTTTTTTTTGCAACTTTTTCAAATCGTATTCGCACATCTCATGTAGCCTAGCCCATAGGCCTATATGTTTTGATAAGGTTTGTATCACAACTAAAGTAGCCAAATAACTTCGTAAAATGAAGCACATTAATCCGCTTTACAAGGGGTGTAGAGCCTAACTGGCATACATACAGTGCGTGGGTTTCAAGTTTGGGGAAGATCATTTTCACCGTAAAAATGCACCTTTATAATAAAAGCATTACATGCATAATCACATTTGTGGTTACTTTTGAGAATAGTGTTTTCCTGCTAATGGAACATTCGCGCTTATAGCCTACTGCCATGTGCGCATTGCTGTGCTTATAATTTGAAGAAATAGCCTAATAGTTTATCAACATTTTCAGCTAAACGTTCTCATCTGTTGCGTCAGGCTCATTGCATAAAACAGGGTTTTCTGATGTTAGTGGTTGTATTCATTTGGGATCTATGCATCCCACAACTGTCTCAGACTACAGTGCCTTGCAAAAGTATTCATCCCCCTTGGCGTTTTTCCAACTTGTAATTTAAATGGATTTTTATTTGGATTTCATGTAATGGACATACACAAAATAGTCCAAATTGGTGAAGTGGAATGAAAAAAATAACTTGTTTCAAAAAAATTCCAAAAAATAAATAACGGAAAGGTGGTGCGTGCATATGTATTCACCCCCTTTGCTATGAAGCCCCTAAATAAGATCTGGTGCAACCAATTACCTTCAGAAGTCACATAATTAGTTAAATAAAGTCCACCTGTGTGCAATCTAAGTGTCACATGATCTGTCACATGATCTCAGTATATACAGTGAGGGAAAAAAGTATTTGATCCCCTGCTGATTTTGTACGTTTACCCACTGACAAAGACATGATCAGTCTATAATTTTAATGGTAGGTTTATTTGAACAGTGAGAGACAGAATAACAACAAAAACATCCAGAAAAACGCATGTCAAAAATGTGACTTAGTACTTGGTGGCAAAATCCTTGTTGGCAATCACAGAGGTCAGACGTTTCTTGTAGTTGGCCACCAGGTTTGCACACATCTCAGGAGGGATTTTGTCCCACTCCTCTTTGCAGATCTTCTCCAAGTCATTAAGGTTTCGAGGCATGGAGCCCCAGGCCGAGGGAGATTGACAGTTATTTTGTGTTTCTTCCATTTGCGAATAATCGCACCAACTGTTGTCACCTTCTCACCAAGCTGCTTGGCGATGGTCTTGTAGCCCATTCCAGCCTTGTGTAGGTCTACAATCTTGACCCTGACATCATTGAAGAGCTCTTTGGTCTTGGTGGAGAGTTTGGAATCTGATTGATTGCTTCTGTGGACCGGTGTCTTTTATACAGGTAACAAGCTGAGATTAGGAGCACTCCCTTTAAGAGTGTGCTCCTAATCTCAGCTTTGTTACCTGTATAAAAGACCCCTGGGAGCCAGAAATCTTTCTGATTGAGAGGGAGTCAAATACTATTCAAATAAACCTACCATTAAAATTATAGACTGATCATGTCTTTGTCAGTGGGCAAACGTACAAAATCAGCAGGGGATCAAATACTTTTTTTCCCTCACTGTATACACCTGTTCTGAAAGGCCCCAGAGTCTGCCACACCACTAAGCAAGGGGCACCACCAAGCAAGCAGCACCATGAAGACCAAGGTGCTCTCCAAACAAGTCAGGGACAAAGTTGTGGAGAAGTACAGATCAGGGTTGGGTTATAAAAAAATATCCGAAACATTGAACATCCCACGGAGCACCCTTAAATCCATTATTAAAAAATGGAAAGAATATGGCACCACAACAAACCTGCCAAGAGAGGGCCGCCCACCAAAACTCACGGACCAGGCAAGGAGGGCATTAATCAGAGAGGCAACAAAGACACCAAAGATAAACCTGAAGGAGCTGCAAAGCTCCACAGCGGAGATTGGAGTATCTGTCCATAGGACCACTTTAAGTCATACACTCCACAGAGCTGGGCTTTACGGAAGAGTGGGCAGAAAAAAGCCATCGCTTAAAGAAAAAAATAAGCAAACACGTTTGGTGTTCGCCAAATGGCATGTGGGAGACTCCCCAAACATATGGAAGAAGGTACTCTGGTCAGATGAGACAAAAATTTAGCTTTTTGACCATCAAGGAAAACGCTATGTCTGGCGCAAACCCAACACCTCTCATCACCCCGAGAACACCATCCCCACAGTGAAGCATGGTGGTGGCAGCATCATGCTGTGGGGATGTTTTTCATCGGCAGGGACTGGGAAACTGGTCAGAATTGAAGGAATGATGGATGGCGCTAAAAACAGGGAAATTCTTGAGGGAAACCTGTTTCAGTCTTCCAGAGATTTGAGACTGGGACGGAGGTTCACCTTCCAGCAGGACAATGACCCTAAGCATACTGCTAAAGCAACACTCGAGTGGTTTAAGGGGAAACATTTAAATGTCTTGGAATGGCCTAGTCAAAGCCCAGACCTCAATCCAATTGAGAATCTGTGGTATGACTTAAAGATTGCTGTACACCAGCGGAACCCATCCAACTTGAAGGAGCTGGAGCAGTTTTGCCTTGAAGAATGGGCAAAAATCCTAGTGGCTAGATGTGCCAAGCTTATAGCGACATACCCCAAGAGACTTGCAGCTGTAATTGCTGCAAAAGGTGGCTCTACAAAGTATTGACTTTGGGGGGGGTGAATAGTTATGCACGCTCAAGTTTTCAGTTTTTTTGTCTTAGTTCTTGTTTGTTTCACAATAAAAAATATATTGCATCTTCAAAGGGGTAGGCATGTTGTGTAAATCAAATGATACAAACCCCCCAAAAAATCCATTTTAATTCCAGGTTGTAAGGCAACAAAATAGGAAAAATGCCAAGGGCGATGAATACTTTGGAATATTTATTTCTCGCACAGAATAAAATAGGTTAACATTTTGTAGATTGACATAGGCTAGTGCTTTTGCTGTTCATTAGGCCTACTCATCTTGTTGGCTGACGAAAAGTAAATGTGGACATTTCTTCCAATATCTTCCATATGCGCCTCGGAATTGGATAAGGACGTGCGCAGTTGCATCCCCGATGTGTCTGTCTTCACTTGTAGTCTGTGAGAAAGACCCGATCACGTGATGGAGAGCCATGTGAGTGAGAGGTGCTTCTGCACGCAGCCGGGAGAAGGGAATTATAATTATTACATTCAGCCCAAGGGCACAACGGCCACTGGCTGCAAAAGGCATCGATTTTTTTAGGGGGCATTACGGCCACACAAAGGGGATGCAGCTGGGAAATTCGAGGCGTTATCAAGTGCTTGTCAAATTGTGAATGAGAGACTGATGAAGTGTGTACAGCCTGCGCAGAAAACAATGCAGTGATCATGCCTTTCATGCAACTTTTTTCAAATCATCATTAGAGTTGTATCATGCAGCCTTAGAATGTATTCAAAATCAAAACATATAGCCCAACATTTGTATCACAACTAAAGTTAAATAAATAACTCTAAATTAAGCATATATACCAGCTCAACACAGAATAGCCGCATGTGCGCACTCCCTCAAATCGTTTGGAGAAAATAGCCTTTCTATTTTATTCAGCTATCATCAATTGTGTTCTTCATACTATAAAATAATATAAAAAAATGCCACGGAATTCTAAGCAAATGAACTAATGTAGCGCACAGCCATATGGCATAGCCAGATCAGGGCCTAACATAAGGACAACTCAGAGTATGCTATTCTGTTCTTCTGAAATAGACTACATTTTCTTCATATCATGTTTCTTTAGACCTGTCTAAAATAAATAATGGATTTATTGTGATGGTGTAGGCTATATTACATGGATTTATTCGACTTTTTAAAATGTAGATGTTCCAAAGGTCTGCATCAGTGGCTTGTAGGCTATGCGTGGAAGCCAGGAGATGCTAAATGTGTTTAAGTTAATTAATGATATTTTTTAGTGTATAACAGGCTATGAGTATTTCCTTTAACCTGTCACACTCTCCCCGACAAAATAAATGTTTTCCCAACATTACCAACATTGTCTTCTTAAACAGTCTATATGCACTGGACCTAGAAAATCCTCTTCTGTAAGCTAGTACTTGAGCAGAGGTCAAAGGTCACAGTTCAAATAGAACCAACAAGTTATATTCACAGTTCATATCTGTTGACCAGCTGTATAAACAGTCCATAAGCAGTCTTTTCTCATACTATTGTCAACAGTCCATCAGTTTTAATTATCTATATGCATAGTCTGCAAATTGTCTCTTGTGACAGTCTGTGAAATCAGTCAGTAGTCCATGGTCAAACATGCCAACTCTGTAGCCACATGTTTGCTGAAGTCCATACATGTAGGGTGGCTGTAGGTAATATCGCTGTAGTGATGGCAGCCATGGAACCAGTCCTGGTGCAGGGTAGACAGGAAACAACTGTGGCTGTGGCTGGATACTGTAGCAGGAAGGGATACCAAGCTGATCATAGGTGATACGTCTTGGAGGGTGTCTCTCTCTTTGTGACAGCTGGTAGGCTGGTTTCTCAGGTTCAGCAGCAGCAGTTAATGAAGGAAAGGCACTTAGTAGTTGATCATCAGGCACATTTTCAGCAGGCAAGTTCATCTCCTCAGCAGGCAGGTCTTTAACTGTTGTTGTCTCCCCCAGCTGCTTTTCAACAAGAGGCTGTGCTGCTAGCGTATCAGGAACTGGCACCGCAACTGTCTGTTTCACTGGTGGGGGCCTGTGTTCCGACTCTCTCGCTGGTTCAGCATACCTCTCCTCAGGTACTGTAGGAGATGTGGGGACCTGTAGCGGCTCATGATGAAGGTCATATTCATCCCCGCTGTCTTCATCAGAATCTAGAGGCTGTGATGCAGGCTGATGTCTCTTTTTTTTCTTACTTTTGTCATCTTTAGACCTTTCTGGTTGTGTCTCAAAAGGTAAGTGGTCACAGGACATGAGCAGGTTTCTGTGCAGGACCCTGGAGCGTCCCCTACCCTTTTCTGGTCTCAACTCATAAATCGGCAGGTCTGAACCCATTTGTCTCACTACTGTGTGAATTTTATCTTCCCAATAGTTACAGAGTTTGCCTGGTCCTCCTCTTGGTGTCAGGTTTTTAATCAGAACTTGCTTGCCAGGCTGTAGCACTGAACTCCTAACTTTAGTGTCATAGTACTTCTTACTTCTTTCAGCAGCTTTCTGAGCATTTTCATTTGCAATGGCGTATGCTTCTTCCATCCCTCGTTTCCAGTTCTCCACGTAGTCTCGCTGGTTACTGGAACCTGCCTCTGTGCACAACCCAAAGAGCATATCAACTGGAAGCCTGGGTGATCTCCCAAACAGAAGATAAAATGGTGAATAGCCAGTCACTTCGCAACAGGTGCAGTTATAGGCATAAACCAGTTTGTTCAGAGACTCCTTCCAATTTGACTTTTGTGTCTCAGTTAGTGTCTTTAGCATTTGCAACAATGTTCTGTTCATACGTTCCACTTGACCGTTCCCCATCGGGTGGTAGGGTGTTGTTCTGGACCCCGCCATGCCACTGAGTTTCTTTAACTGATGGAACAACTGATTTTCGAATTCTCCCCCTTGGTCATGGTGGATGCGGGAGGGGAACCCAAACTTCAGGGCAAAGTCATTGAAAATGAGATTTGCAGCAGTTTTTCCTGACTTTGATGTGGTGGCGTAGGCTTGAGTGAAACGTGTAAAATGATTAACAATCACGAGGATGTACTCATATCCCCCTTTGCATCTGTCGAGATGGAGGAAATCTATACATACCAGTTCAAATGGCTGTGTTGTCACAATGTTTGTCAGAGGAGCTCTTGTTTCATGGCCTGGCTTTTTCTGCTTGACACAGCTACAAGTTTTAGTCACATAGTGCTCGATGTCAGATTGCATATATGGCCAGAAGAAGCGGTCACGTACTAGTGATACAGTGCGGTCAGTACCTTGGTGTCCCATGTTATTGTGCAACTCTTCCATCACTTTACCTTTGTACTGCTCTGGTAGAACTAACTGCTTGCGGGCAGTAGTGATTCTGTACAGGATGCCATCACTGTCTATTGTCAATTTGTCCCATTCTCTGAATAGGCATTTTGTCTTTGGACTGGATTCCTTTTGCTCTTTAACTGGCGGTTTGGAACCAGACAGTTTGAAATCGAGCACAGGACGGATGACCAGATCAGATTCTTGTGCTTCTCTTATCCCATTTTTTGGGATCGAGCTGATTGTTGCAGTGGTTGTCTCACCTTCAGCTGATACTGACATAGATGCAGCTGAAAGTGACCAAGGTACAACAGACTCTTTCTCTACCTCAACTGCTTGTATTGTGGCGGCAATGGTGTCTGGTGGAAGCTCCTCAGAACATTCTCTCATCAGTGACTCTACATCCAGTGGCATCCTTGACAAAGCATCTGCATCACTGTTCACTCTGCCTGGCCTGTACTTTATTGTAAAGTGGAAATCAGCCAATTCTGCAACCCACCTGGAAGTGGTTGTGTTCCTTTTTGCAGTAGACAGAATGTAGCTGAGCGGGTTGTTATCGCTGTATACAGTGAAGGTCGGAGCATAGTACAAATAATCATGGAACTTATCAGTGATAGCCCATTTTAGAGCTAGAAATTCTAGCTTGCCAGAGTGGTAGTGATAGTTCTTCTCAGCTGCTGTTAAGGTTCGAGAGCCATAAGCAATGACCCTAAGCTTCCCATCTTGCTTTTGATAAAGAACTGCTCCCAAGCCTTGGTGTGACGCATCAGTGGAAACCTAAGACTGGTGGGTGAAGCAAACACTCAATCAGCTGTTCAAGTACCTGTTGATGCTGGTCAGTCCACAGGATTGGCTTGTTTGAGGGCACCACATGACTTACTTTCTTTGTTTTTGTTTTCCGTGGGTGGTCAAGTAATTTCTCTGAATCTGCTTTCAGGAGGTCATACAGACAGCTGGCCCTCCTAGAAAAGTCTTTGATGTACTGTCTGTAGTAAGTGAGTAAACCAAGCATTTTTCTGAGCTGGCCCACAGTCTCTGGTCTGATTTCTTTCAATGCTCTTACTGCTTCAAAATCGGCTGGTTCAACTCTGCTGCCCTCTGCAGACACTATTCTGCCCAAATAACGGACCTGGGGTTTAAAGAGATCACACTTACTTGGCTTGAGTTTGATGCCATACTCTCTGAGACGCTGCAAAACTTTTCGCACATAATTCACATGGCTGTCTAAAGTTTTACTGAAAACTAGCGTGTCGTCCAGATAAGGAATGCAGATGTTATCCCGGAGCCCTTCCAAACATTCCTCCATACAACGCTGAAAAGCTGCAGGAGCGTTCATGAGGCCGAATGGCATACGTATCCACTCAGAGTCCCCACGGGGTCACAAATGCTGTCAGTGATCTGCTTTCTTCAGAGATGAATCCCTGGTGATACGCTTTTCCCTGATCTAAGAGGGAGAACCAGGAATTACCACCTAAACTGTCCACGATGTCTTGGACCCGAGGGATGGGCTGGCGGTCGGGATGTGTCTTTCTGTTCAGGTTTCTGTAATCTATACACAACCGGAGGGTCCCGTCCTTCTTCCTAACGCACACGACAGGTGAGAAATATGAAGAGTTTGACTTCCTAACCCAGCCCTGGGCTATGAGGTCATGAAGGTAACCCTTCATCTCCTGATACAGTGGCCTGGGCACTGACATGTATGTGCGCTTGACTGGTTCAGAGTCCTTTAGAGAAATAGTCATTTTCAATCGTTCAATGCAGCCAATGTCATTGTCTGATCTGGAGAAGGAGTGACAATCTTCTCTAAGCATTTGCCTAACAACCTCTCTCTGTTCTTCGGTTAGGTGACTTAAACCTACTAGTGGATCCCACTGTTCAGTGGCAGTACATGGGGTTCGAACGCTGGTGTGATTCACTGTGGCTGGGGTGACAGCTTTTTCAAAGACTTGGGCAGGTAACACAGTCATAATGGTTTGTACTGTACCGATTATTGTGCGTCCTAGCAGGGCAATGTCGTGGTCAGTGGGGTTAGAGACATCAAGCATGATAACTGGAAAAACACCTTTCCTGACTCTGACTAGTGTGTCAAAGAACTCAAGTTCATCTGGCCACTGCGGGTTCAGGTCTGGCTGGAAAAGCATTGTCATGTCCTCTTTGAAAGGCTGGGAAGCTACACGGCACTCAATCTGAATGCTATTGTTTTGGTACAGCAACCTTTTCTTTCTTGGTTTTTACTGCATATTCATCTGTTTGTTCTGCGCTAACAGCCTGTATAAAAGCTCTCACCTTGTTTCTTTTGAGGCTTTGGAAAGCTTTTTTCACTGTACTGTACCGTTTAGCTTTTTCGGTCATTGTCAGGATGTGCTCGATAACATTGAAACCTATGATGGGATGAGATAGGTGACAGCCTTTCATTACCAGCACTGGGATGATCAGTTCCTTTGTTTGGTCAGTTTCAGAGGCTAGCCGAAAAGTTGTTTCAATCCATCCCAGGTACGGCATTTCAGTCCCATTTGCTGCAGTAAATCTTAGATCATCAGGTGAGTCCAGAATTTCTGAAACATCCCTCAGCCTTGCGTTTGGGAGAGATTACTCTTTCCATTGTTCATCAATGACCGATACCTGAGAGCCTGTGTCCCATAGGGCTTGGAGGTGGTGGCGATTCAGGTGACACTAAACAAGGCACTGTCTGCCGATTAGCGAGGTGACCTTATGGGGGTGGCAAACTTGAGCTAGGGATGGTAAAGAGTGGGCATTTTCCTCTGTACAGGAAAGCTTTTCACTGGTAGAGTCAATTTTCAGGTGAGTGCATTTTTCCTTATCTTTGGTCCAATGTTGGTTTTGACATCCTTTGGAATAGTACAGTGTCTCTTTACATGATGAACAAATGAATCTTCTCTGGCACAATTTGCACATTTCTGGGACTTTTTGGTAGCTACGGTTAACACTCGTCCCTCAGCGGTAACCCTTCCCCGTTTAAAGGGGCCTCTTTTGATGGTCTGACTCCCCGGATTTTACATCCAGCTTGAAAATGTTCTCCACTCCCACATCAGAAGCAGTGTGTGCAGCGTGCATCTGTTCTGGCCTGCTGGCAGAAAAAACACCTCCTTGGAGCTTGAGCAGAGCGGTTGGTATACAGGTTAGGTGCATATTGATGCTGCGCAGGGTCAGGTGCTTGGGGCTGACTGTAGTTGCTGTAATACTGCTGCTGGGAAACAGGTGGCTGGGGGTCCCTATCTGGCCTCCTAACTGGAGGTGTGGCATAGGCATAAGGCGGTGACTGAAACATAGGCTGCTGTAATGTCTCCTTAATCTGAGCAATCTCTGCACTGAGACCTTTTAGGGAAGCTACATCTGTCTTAAGTTCAGCTAACTCTGTTAACAGTTCTGCGGGTATCTTAGCATTGGCTTCCTTCACAGGACACTTTGCAGATGGCGTATCTTCTAACTGGACTACACTTACAGTTGTAGCAGGCTGTGGGGCATTAAACCGCTTTTTGTTTAGTCTTTCTATCTCATTAGCACAAGAAATGTTAAACTTCTCTAGCAAAACCTCATCTGATGTTTCGCTATCTAGCAGGAGAGGCTGCATGTCTATCCTGATACTGTCACTCTGGAGACCTGTAAGGACTGTGTGTAAACACATGCGCTGGACCAGAGCAGGGTCATACTTAAGCCCTGATTCTGACTCCTGGGACGCAAATAGTACTTTCTGCCTCAAATCTAAAACGCGCATCAGGAAGCTTTGAGGGGTCTCCTTGCTATGCTGTGCTTCTGAAGCTAGCTGTTTGTAAAGCTCTGTTGCACTCTTCTCTTGGAAGTGGGAACGCAGGATGCATCTAAGTGTGGGAAGAGTTAGCTGGGGTTTACCTTCCAAGTAGCTGCGTAGCTGTGAGCCTGGAGAAATAGCCCTGATTACTGCGTCTACTATTTCTACCTCAGGATAGCCTCTGTTAAATCCATTCTCAATCTGATGGGCAAGGCTGGAAAAAGTCAGTTTATCTTTCTGGCCCAGAAATGTTTAACTCTTTGCGCCAGTATGAGCCGGGCTGTGCACCGGGTGAGAGCTGCATGCTCCCCTGAAGATGGGCAGGGGGTTGGGGCTGGCGCAGCGAATCACTGGCTTTGGCTGCAGTAATCTGCTCAGTTCCCACTCCTTGTTGTGGGGTTACAGTTCTCAGTTCCTCTATTCTGTGATGTGTTCCGGCTGTTTCAATATCATGGTCAGTTTGCCCTGTTTTGTTATCTGTGCCCCTGATCATCTCTGTCATTTTGTCTTTAAGTAGCAACAATTCCGACATGCCGCCATCTTCTAACTCTGCAACTTCCTCTCTTTCAAGGAACATCATAATGTGAGTCATCAATGATATGCGGGATTTGTCTTGAACATCTCTTCTCTGTTCGCCTGATATGTCAAGGATATCACATATCTCTAGTAACTTGTCTTTAGTCAGGGTGTGCAATTCTCCTACTACCTCTTCCTGCCAATTCTCCTACTACCTCTTGTCATGTTGACAGGACAGGAGGAACTTTTACTGTGCAGGAGTTGACTCTGAATTAGATGGTCCTTAATGTCTCTGATGGTCTCTCAATGGCCTCAGTTGACACGTACTTAACCACCAACTTCCAGCTCCCCTCGAACAGCAACACTTTCCTCACTGCAGCCTGCCTGGGTTGTTATGTTTGGATTTAGCTGGCTCGGAATTCAGCGACCAGGATGTGGAAACCGGACATCTGAGCAGCAATCTCAGCCGTGCCTCCAAAAATGTTACGCCCCTGAAAAAGGGGAGAAATAATCACGAGAGTGATACGTTTATGTTTCCTCACTGAGAACTTTAGTGTAATCATTTTACAAAACTACCACCTTTTACAGATCAACAGATCTACAGGAAATAGATAGTTTTGTAGAGTACAAAGCTTATTCAAGTCACAACAGCATACACTGTAATTCACTGAAACATATACTAATTTTCCAATATAACTGTCAAGCACAAAGTAGCTTTAGCTCAGTAAACCATAACTACATTTATCAACAATGTCAATAAAGTGTTTGAAACACATTATACAAATAACACCGCAAAATATATTATTAACAGTGTACATGTTCATTCACAATTAACATAAAATGGCAGCTACTCTCAGTACGAAGCTATTCTTCGCTGCAACCGAGCGGGGCTCCGCTCACACACACCCATATTACACTCTGAAAACTTAACTCTAACTTACTCAAGATGTTACTAAAACACACCTAAAACACTCTTGACATGTTAGCAAGTTATTACATTTAAATTAACTATGTTTTATATCAATAACGTATCTGAAAAAGGGGAGAAATAATCACGAGAGTGATACGGTTATGTTTCCTCACTGAGAACTTTAGTGTAATGAGGAAAAGACCGTGATTTCCCCGGGAACTTGGGTGGAGACCAGAGCAATCGATCTCAGGCTCATAGATTAAGAGCATTTCGTAGATCTTTTTAACCTTAGATATTTTAAGATCCTCACATACTATGAACTTACTGATACTTTTTAGTGTATAACAGGCTATGAGTATTTCCTTTAACCTGTCACATGGGCAGTACCAAAACAAGTGATCTAATGCTTTTCTCTTCGCAACAAAATCTGCAGAGCTGGGATGGTTGTATCTTCATATACATAACATTCTATTTGTTTGCAAGAATTTTGTATACTAATTTTGAATCTGGCGTTGTTCTGTGTATCAGTTCATAAACCATGTGCCATGGAATCGGCACAACAAAAATCTCTTCCTTACTATTTTGCAACCTGTATGGCGCAGCTGTCAATTTTTTTGTCCTTAAATTAAACTGTTATACTTTTTATTTCTCACAATTTTCTTCAACCAATTTTGGTCTTTAATGTAGGGCCGACAGACAAGTTCCTTACCTTCTCCCCCTTACACTTGCCTCTTCCATTTTAGCGGTAATGCTGCAATCAGTTGGTTGTAATTTTGGAGAGAGCAGACATTTCCATATATTATTGTTAGCTGCATGTGTGACATAACTCCATCAGTGACATAACTCCATCAATCGTATTTAGGATATCATTAACAACGATTATCCAATTTTCTATTTTTATTTTCAAAAATGTTTTTTTTTATCAGTTAGTATATTTTAGTATTTTCTGGTGGATTAAATAAAACTGAAATTGCAACCAGCTTTCTATGGCTTGTTTAAAAAATATTCTGGAGATGATTTCATTTTCAAATAACCGAAAGTAAGAGGTTGGAATCTGAATAAAGGGAAAAAGGCCATTTTTGTACACAGGTTGAGACAATCTTACTAATCTGCTGGAAAACCCGTTCGGATTTAAGTACTTCTGTATGACTGAAGCCTTTAGTGAAAGGTTCAATGCATTAAAATGTAATAATTTCAGCTCTCTGAATTAATATTCGTTATATAAATAGGCCCGTTTAATTTAGTTTGGCTTGCTGTTCCAAATAAAGTGGAATATGTTTTGCTCATATAATAAAAATTAAAAAAGTTGTTCGATGTAAGCAGGGCCATAAGTAAATAGGTAAACTGGTATATAACTAAATAATTAATCAGGGATATTTTTTCACAAATAGAAAGGTATTTACCTTTCCATGGTAGCAAGATCTTATCTATTTTTGCTAACTTTCTATTAAAATGTATTGTATTGAGATTGTTTCTTTCTTTCGGGATATGAATACCGAGTATGTCCACTTCACCATCAGACCATTTTATTGGTAAACTACACGGTAATGTAAAAGTTGTATTTTTTTTAAATCACAACTATGATAATTATCATACTTTTCATAGTTTGGTTGTAATAATAATAATTATAATAATAATATGCTATTTAGCAGACACTTTTATCCAAAGCGACATACAGTCATGCGTGCATAAATTTTTAGGTATGGGTGGTCCCGGGGATCGAACCCACAACCCTGGCGTTACAAGAGCCGTGCTCTACCAGCTGAGCTACAGAGAAAGTATCTATATCTTCTATGAGGCTGTTCAGGGATTAAAATTGTGGATTTAAAAGAAACCATGAGTCGTCAGCGTACAATGACACCTTTGTTTTTAATAAGCCCTGGATTTATAATAATAATAATAATAATATGCCATTTAGCAGACGCTTTTATCCAAAGCGACTTACAGTCATGCGTGCATACATTTTTGTGTATGGGTGGTCCCCCTTGATATTATTATTGGATCAATGTTTAATAGCTAACATTTCGATGGCCATAATAAATACAGTGGGGAAAAAAAGTATTTAGTCAGCCACCAATTGTGCAAGTTCTCCCATTTAAAAAGATGAGAGAGGCCTGTAATTTTCATAATAGGTACACGTCAACTATGACAGACAAAATGAGAAAAAGAAATCCAGAAAATCACATTGTAGGATTTTTAATGAATTTATTTGCAAATTATGGTGGAAAATAAGTATTTGGTCAATAACAAAAGTTTCTCAATACTTTGTTATATACCCTTTGTTGGCAATGACACAGGTCAAACGTTTTCTGTAAGTCTTCACAAGGTTTTCACACACTGTTGCTGGTATTTTGGACCCATTCCTCCATGCAGATCTCCTCTAGAGCAGTGATGTTTTGGGGCTGTCGCTGGGCAACACAGACTTTCAACTCCCTCCAAAGATTTTCTATGGGGTTGAGATCTGGAGACTGGCTAGGCCACTCCAGGACCTTGAAATGCTTCTTGCGAAGCCACTCCGTTGCCCGGGCGGTGTGTTTGGGATCATTGTCATGCTGAAAGACCCAGCCACGTTTCATCTTCAATGCCCTTGCTGATGGAAGGAGGTTTTCACTCAAAATCTCACGATACATGGCCCCATTCATTCTTTCCTTTACACGGATCAGTCGTCCTGGTCCCTTTGCAGAAAAACAGCCCCAAAGCATGATGTTTCCACCCCCATGCTTCACAGTAGGTATGGTGTTCTTTGGATGCAACTCAGCATTCTTTGTCCTCCAAACACGACGAGTTGAGTTTTTTACCAAAAAGTTATATTTTGGTTTCATCTGACCATATGACATTCTCCCAATCCTCTTCTGGATCAACCAAATGCACTCTAGCAAACTTCAGACGGGCCTGGACATGTACTGGCTTAAGCAGGGGGACACGTCTGGCACTGCAGGATTTGAGTCCCTGGCGGCGTAGTGTGTTACTGATGGTAGGCTTTGTTACTTTGGTCCCAGCTCTCTGCAGGTCATTCACTAGGTCCCCCCGTGTGGTTCTGTGATTTTTGCTCACCGTTCTTGTGATCATTTTGACCCCACGGGGTGAGATCTTGCGTGGAGCCCCAGATCGAGGGAGATTATCAGTGGTCTTGTATGTCTTCCATTTCCTAATAATTGCTCCCACAGTTGATTTCTTCAAACCAAGCTGCTTACCTATTGCAGATTCAGTCTTCCCAGCCTGGTGCAGGTCTACAATTTTGTTTCTGGTGTCCTTTGACAGCTCTTTGGTCTTGGCCATAGTGGAGTTTGGAGTGTGACTGTTTGAGGTTGTGGACAGGTGTCTTTTATACTGATAACAAGTTCAAACAGGTGCCATTAATACAGGTAACGAGTGGGGACAGAGGAGCCTCTTAAAGAAGAAGTTACAGGTCTGTGAGAGCCAGAAATCGTGCTTGTTTGTAGGTGACCAAATACTTATTTTCCACCATAATTTGCAAATAAATTCATTAAAAATCCTACAATGTGATTTTCTGGATTTTCTTTTCTCAATATGTCTGTCATAGTTGACGTGTACCTATGATGACAATTACAGGCCTCTCTCATCTTTTTAAGTGGGAGAACTTGCACAATTGGTGGCTGACTAAATACTTTTTTTCCCCCACTGTATATATCCCTATAGTAGACAACCTTGTTTCACTCCTCTTGACAGTTTAATAAGATATGATTGTGAAGTTATGACCACTCAGATTGATACATACCACTTACACTGAGTGTACATAACATTAGGAACACCTGCTCTTTCCATGACAGACTGACCAGGTGAAAGCTATGATCCCTTATTGATGTCACCTGTTAAATCCACTTAAATCAGTGTATTCCTTGAGACAATTGAGACATGGATTGTGTATGTGTGCCATTCAGAGGGTGAATGGGCAAGACAAAATATTCAAGTGCCTTTGAACAGGGTATGGTAGTAGGTGCCAAGCGCACCGGTTTGAGTGTGTCAAAAACTGCAACAATGGCCTCCCGAGTGGCGCAGCGGTCTAAGGCACTGCAGTGCTTGAGGCGTCACTACAGTTCCGGGTTCGATCCCAGGCTGTGTCGTAGCCGGCCGCGACCGGGAGACCCATGAGTCAACGCACAATTGGCCCAGCGTCGTCCGGGTTAGGGGAGGGTTTGGCTGGCCGGGATGTCCTTGTCCCATCGCGCGCTAGCGACTCCTGTGGCGGGCCGGGCGCATGCACGCTGACACGTTCGCCAGTTGTACGGTGTTTCCTCCGACACATTGGTGCGGCTGGCTTTCAGGTTAAGCGAGCAGTGTGTCAAGAAGCAGTGTGGCTTGGCAGGGTCATGTTTCGGAGGATGCATGGCTCTCGACCTTCGCCTCTCCCGAGTCCATACGGGAGTTGCAGCGATGGGACAAGACTGCAAATACCAATTGGATATCACGAAATTGGGGAGAAACAGGGGTAAAAAGTACCAAAAAAATGCAACGCTACTGGGTTTCTCACACTCAACAATTTCCATTGTCTATCAAGAATAGTCCACCAACCAAAGGACATCCAGCCAACTTAACACAACTGTGGGAAGCATTGGAGTCAACATGGGCCAGCATTCCTGTGTAACGCCTTCGACACCTTGTAGAATCCATGCCCCGACGAATTGAGGCTGTTCTGAGGGCAAAAGGGGGTGCAACTCAATATTAGAAAGATGTTCATAATGTTTTGCACACTTAGTGTATATCCTCCTTAAATCTAATGCAAATGTGTCAAACTCATTCCACGGCAGGCCGATGGTTTTCGCTCCTCCCTTGTCCTTGATTGATGAATTAAGGTCACTGATTAGTAAGGAATTCCCCTCACATGGTTGTCTAGGTCTTAATTGAAAGGGGAAAAAAAATAAACAGCAGACACTAGGCCCTCCATGGAATGAGTTTGACACCCCTGCTCTAATGGGTCAATGAGTCACACTGATGGCTTTGAGTCACTTTTAACTCGTTAGTTAATTAGAGTCTGGATCGACTCCACATAATTAAACACTTCACCAGTCTATTTACAGTTCATTACACACCACTTCTCTCCTCTATGTTGGTGTGATGACAGTTGACTTCCTCTCTCCCAGGGTAAAGGGAAAATGAACACATATTGGCTGATCGGACACAAGAACTACAGTGTTCAGAACGACAGTCTTGTGTGCCACTGGAACCCCAATCTAGCCAGAAAGAAGAAGACACTGGTGGGGAGCGACATTTCTATGGCGAACGTGAGTGCATTACACCCTAGGCAAGGGTCGTTAGTACATTAATGTATTACACCTGTTGATTATCAGCCCAAAATTGGAACTAGCTCTCTCACCTTTTTCCTCCCCTATCTTTCTTTCTCCTACCCCTCTCTCTCTCTGTCACTCTCCCTCCCTCCCACTTCCATCTCTCCTACCTCCCTTCCTACCTTCCCTCCTCCTACCCCCTTCCCTCTATTCTACCCCCCCCCCCCCCCCCCCCCCCACCCCCCCCCCCCCAGTCCTGTGTGACAGTGCAGAGCCTCAGTGAGAACGCTACCACTCCCGTGCCTCAGGGCTCCAAGGCCCAGCAGGGGGCCCTGTGTGTGTCCGTGTCAGCCCAGGTGGAGCACTGCGCCAGCAGCTTCGGTACCCTGGGCTCAATGATCGGGGGCCTCCAGGGACTAGAGAGCCCCAGGGAAGGGAAAGCCCGCGGGGGGACGGGAGGAGACAAACCGGACCTGCTGCCTGGATCTGGAACCATCCCTCATATGTGATGTAGGGCTGGACTGGGACAAGAAACTTCTCTAAAACTAAATTGCTATGGATTTTTACCCTGGCTGTTTGAGTGGAGGTTCAGGGGATTTTAATGATGATGTAAATACAGTATATTTAGGCATGTGTGAAAGAACCACAATTAATAAAATATCTGGTGTGTGTGTTTTATATACAGAGTAAACATTTTTGTATCAACCTTGGACAGATTGTGTTGTCATTGTCCATCTTTTTTTTAGTCCCATAAGATCAAAACGTCTGTGGATGAATAAAAGCTCCTTTAAAATTAGCAGCGAATCGTTTCAATGTTCAGTCTTCAAAGGCACAACCGCAATAGCCGAATTAGTTGAAGTGGGTGCAATTATATGCAGATTTGTGGGCGGTGTCATTATGGTTAGGGAGGCCCTGATTGGTGCAGCGTTCCAAGGGGTAAAGTCCCCAGGACATCAAATGAAGATATAGGGCATCAAATGAAGATATAGGGCGTGTTCCTCTGCTCAGGTGTTGCTGACGCCTGCCAGATCTTACAATGCCTGGTTATGTATTTTACATATCAGCCAACCACATATGTTATAGCAAGTCGATGACACAGTCGATGACGTGGCATGCAACCATTGGTTGATGCATGCAACTTCTGAGCAGGGTAACGCAACCAATTATAGACTTCTCAAAGGAGAAGACAGACACGCTCATCTTGAAGGGTACATCTCAATAGTCTAAATTGGCCTCTTCTCTTTGATCCACACTGAAGAATAATACAATTGTAGGCTTTTGCCATGCTGCTGAATTAAGGCCTGGGTTATTACATTCCAGTTGGAGCTCTAGACGCTACCAGCCAGACACTCCTGCGTCTCAGTTTGGGAGTGCTGATCTGGGCTCAGGTCCCTCCTGTTCATATAATGATATTCATAATATCTCAAAGGCATCCATGATTAGCCCAGCAGCTAAGTAGTTGGACCTGTAGCCGAAAGGTGGCCGGTTCGAATCCAGGGCAGGGAGCTGGGAAAAGCGGGGAATTGATCTGGCAACTGGAGGGCTGCTGGGTTCACATCCCAAATACATTCCCTTAGCGTTTGGCCCATGAGCAAGGCCCTTTACACTTGTGGGAAGTGGCCTATATAGATAGGGCTAAATTGAAATGTTTCTTTCAGAAGGCATATGTATAATCATGGTAGCAATTGAAAGGGAAAAGTTTTGGAGATTATGGGAAAATTATTAGACTAAACACAAGACTGAATCCAAACATTACACTGTTGATTATAAGTGCATTTTACATTTACTGTACTTTTCGCTGCATTTGTTGAGAACAAAATCTGAAAATACTCTGGATATGTTCAGTAACATGATAACAATATTCCTGGAAAGGGGTTTGAGTGAGAGGGACTAATTGGTGTTTCCACACACCTCTCCAAGGTGTGCATAGTTCCTAAGTAATTTCAATGGACTTTTATGACTCAGAGAAGAGTCTTCAACTGTAAGGTGCTTTTTTGAGCTCTCCTAGCTGTGCTGTTGAGTAACTAGAGCAAGCACACTTGTAGTTGTTTTGGTTGTAACACAACCCTGCATCCCCGCCATCACACAATTACTGTTGTTTTACCGCAATCCAAAAATGGTCCATTATAAATCACAATCTCTGTCGGGTGGGAATCATTTGAAAGCTTGTTCTAATTGCCAACATGACTAGCTACATGATACAATACTATATTACAGTGTTAGGCTTTCACAATTCAATTCAGAGAAACTGAATTTTGGCGCGCTAGAAAGGAGTCAAGAATTAATTCAGGTGGGTGTGCTGCGGTGGAATTTTCTTCACAACAGACAAATATAGGCTCATTCTTTTCAGAACAACCAGGGTATGACACCAAGTCATCTTGTAACTGTACATTAAACATAGTGATCATAAACGTTGACACTGTATATGACATGCGTTTTATGCTGTGAAAATGTGAAGTCGCTCTGGATAAGAGCATCTGCTAAATGACTAAAATGTAAAATGTAAAGTGCACATTTGGACTCATGGGTGTTTGGCTTGCTTGTATATCAAAGCAGTATTTATTATGATCCTCAACGTCTTATCTTTCCAAATACATAGAGTCCTCTTCATTTACAGCATTTTCCTCACTCAGATAACAAACTATTTGCAAAAGTTGCCCGATTAGTTGGAGGGATGGGGACCAACTTCTTGTTGCGCCAGGTGCTCAAGTTCAGAACGGCTGTCAGTCAAAACCTATACAGCGCTGTGAAGCGCAGAGCTAGAGCTCTGACGTCATGTATAGCATGTTACTGTACAGCCACTGCATTCAAATGTAGGCGTTTTATCAGTGCCCAAATCTGCCATTTTCAATCCGTATACAGGTGCGAGTGTAAAGGGATACCCCCACAACAGGCTCTCCATCCAAGGGCGCTGCACTGCAGCTTGACCCTGCGCTTGTCTCAACTGTTTGGTGTGTGATGTGTGCTGTCCAGAGACCGTGCTGTCAGGGGTTGTTCGCTGTAAACATGGAAAATAAAGTTGTATTGTATGTATTGTGTTGTTGAATGGCCAAAATTCCACCCTGCCTGTCAGAAAGCACGGCAAAGCAAATACTCCATCTTAAACCTAAGATCTACAGCAGTGCCTCATGTAGTGGCCAAGGGTGGATTTGAAGTTCAGAAATCGTGTTGGTGAGACAATGGATGTATAATGGATGGTACTGTGTATAAATCATGTAGCTTGTCAAGTGTAAGGTGTTCTGTCAATATGCCACAAGGGGGCACAATTTGATCAAACTTCAGCCCCTTGCTGACGTACAAGCTTAGAGTGCCCTGCTTCACTAATCAAGGGCTGGCAGGGGGCATAGCCGCGGGAAGTAATTTGGGGGTGGGGCTGCTTCGATTTGCAGAAGAAAAAAAAAAGTTACCCCACTGAAGACATCTAATTTATATCGGTCCGCTAATACAGGACTAGTAAACGCCCAGTGCACTACTTTTGTGAAATTTTTAAAACTAAATGTATTTGAGTGTTTACCAGTATTTGTAACTTGACTCTGATAATTATCTGTACAAAACAGTTAATCTGATAGTATTTGTGGAATATAAAAATACTTGCTTGATATATGTTGTCCAGTTTCTTGAAATACTTTGCAATGCAATCTTATTTTCTTGTGAAAAGGAATGGTCTATTCTATTCATTTTTAGATTAGATGCTTGCTCCATAGGCATACTAACAGTAGTGAGCATACATTTTGCATAGCTTTCCCCCGTGGAAATCATAACTCCACAGCAGAGCCCTGCATTGCTTAGAGTTCTATGCTCTATAGAATTACCACTGAGTCATCAGTCATCGATTCCCGACTCAATGTAATCGCTATTACTGTATTGTGGTGCATTGTTTTTCTTCATGGTGATGGATATGTCTACAGGTAGCAAACTAATGATCGTCAGCAGCTATGTAGGCAAATACAATAATGTACGATTTACATTAAGTGGTTTTGTAGGATGGTAAATTAATTACTGCTTCATAAAAGTGGGTTGTTTGGCATGTTATTTGATGCACAAAAATATTTATATTTGATGTTGGGGATTGAAGTTTTGTGTCTTTTTTTATTTATATTTTTCTGTTGAGAGAATGCCGAAGAGTGTGCAAAGCTGTCATCAAGGCAAAGGGTGGTCTATTTGAAGTAACCGATCTCAAATATAAGAATATATTTGATTTGTTTAACACTTTTTTGGTTATTACATGATTCCATATGTGTTATTTTCACAGCAATCGTTTTGATTGTCTCACTATTGATTCTTAGCAATGTAGTAAAATTTTAAACTTTTGACTGGTTACTGTATATATATATAATATATATACACTGCTCAAAAAAATAAAGGGATACAACCTAAACAACACAATGTAACTCTCCAAGTCAATCCACTTCTGTGAAACAATAAAACTGTCCGACTTAGAGAAGGGCATAGCACTGATTGACAATAAATTTCATCATGCTGTTGTGCACTTGAAGTAGACACAGGTGGACATTATAGGCAATTATCAAGACATACTTCCCCTAATAAAGGACTGTCTTTTTGCAGGTTGGTGTACCACTATGGACCACTTCTCAGTTCCTTTATGCTTCCTGGCTGTATGTTTTGGTCACTTTTGAATGCTGGGCGGTGGTCTTTCCACTCTAGTGGTAAGCAGTAGACGGAGTCCTACAACCGGTTCACACAGGCTTTCAGGTAGGTGCATCTCATCCCGGATGGCACTTCAATGCGAGCTGTGGCTAAGAGGTTTGCTGTGTCTGTCAGCGTAGTGTCCAGTAGCATGAGGCGTCATATCCCCGCTGTAGGAGACAGGCCATTACATCAGGAGACGTTGGGGGAAGGGGAAAAGGCGCGTAGGGTTAGGGCTATACAAACTCGCAGGCAGGCAGAGCTGCTGAGCACCGGTTAACGCGGCGCGCCTTTGGTGTCAATGAGATGCAGGAGGAGACGTGCCAGGCCCTGCACATATGACGCTCCAGCATGTCCACTTAATAATGTGCATTGTCTGCTCAAACGGTCAGAAACAGACTCGCATGAGGGTGGTATGAGTGGCCTCGGTCGTCGGCACACTGTGGTGGGGTTGTGGCTATAGTCAGTCCGTGCAAGCACCAGTGGCAGGGACCTTGGGCTTTGCGGCAGTAGAACACTCTCAAGATTGGCAAATTCGCCACTGGCGCGCCTGTGGCTCTTCACTAAGATGAAAATGCAGGTTCACCACTGCGCACATGTGAGCAGTAAGACGTGACGAGTCTGGAGTACGCCGTGTGAGAACGTTCTGGCTGGTCCGTGCAACGATGCCTCCAGCATGACCGGTTGCGGTGGTTCGAGTCATGGTGTGGGGTGGCATTTCTTTGGGGCGGCCCGCACAGCCCTCATGTGTGCTCGCCAGAGTAGCGCTGTGACTGCCATTAGGTACCAGAGATGATATCCTCAGACCTCCTTGTTGAGACATATGCTGTGGCGTTGGCCCTGGGTCCTCCTAATGCAAGAT